TTTATGCCTGTAAGACAAGCCCACAGCAAACAATCTGTGAATCTCTCACAAGGGGATACAAACTCACTTTGCGCAGACTCATCTGCTTTTTGTAGAAGTTGTTCCACTCCCGTTTCCGACTCTCTTCATTGGCTTCATCCCCATTCCCACTGCTTTCTTCATCATACCTGTATAAGGCAGGGACACAAGAGGAACAAACATTTCTGTAGCTGCAGCATTAACTGGGGAAGAGGCTTTGGAAAGCCTAAGTCATCCCAGTATTTACAAAATACGATGTATTTCACATCCTTTCTGAACAATCAGCTTTTGGTTTCACTACCATCCTATAACCTGGTCATTAGCGGGTGTCCTCCAAAAATTCATGGGATTTGTTAAGCCCATGAACTAGTAAGCAATAACATGAACTAGTAGCCCATAACTAGTGCTCTGAGAATGGAGGGCTCCATTTGAGAAGCTCTGCCAGATTCTCCCATGGGATTGAGGGGTCACTGCCTCGTGTCATGTACCCCATGTGTCGGTCACTACTGCCCTTGGAGCAGGGATGGCAGAAGGGGCAAAGCACCCATTCCTCAGCCTCAGTTGTTCACAGACAGTTGTATCAAATTAAATCCCCATCAGTAATACGCCAAAATGCAGCAGCTGATTCTCGCCAGATGTAGCCCAAGAATTTACTGCCTTCCACAGCTGTCACAGCTAAAACTTACAGGTATCACAAATCAGAGCTTTAAGGCTGCTGACTGTTTACAACTTCCAAGGCAAAGCTACAGTCAAGTCATGGACAGGCTCAATGAATCAAGTGGCAAACAGTGTGCTGTACAACAGCACTGGCCATGTCTTCTCAGGTCCTGAGATCAAACACAGGCTTAGGTCACAAGTACACCAGTTTCCTCTGACTCAGCTGGACTTGCCTGAAGAACAAAGCTCCCAGTCTCAAGCTGTTTAAGGTAAAGCAGAGGGGCTAGGCCAGCCCACAGCGCTGCACGTCCTGGCAGAGCTTCACGGGCAGCACAGGCAGTGAAACTTTACATCCTGACAGCACTGCACAGTCACTGCAACTCAGCCAGAGAACGGGAAGAAGAGAAGCTGTCATCTCCACACTGCCAAGCATTTTACAGAATTAATCATGTTTCCCACTGCACATCTTCCTTTTGCTGTCAGACTGATAAGGAACTAAAATTTAACAATCTGCAGAAGCAGCTGACGGTGGCACTCCATTACATCCTCTGTGATGACTAAGTCCTGTCATTGCCCTCAGCTCACTGGCCCACAGACAGCTGTACTAAGTCAGGAATGAACTCTGGACCATGTCATACTTTGCTGTCATGTTGCTCTCCATTTAAGCATTTTTGATCCTTGTGACTGTGAATGGGCTGAGCCCACTTACTGCTTTCAAAAAATTTCAGGCTAGTTTCCTGAACCAATTACATTCTGCAGGGCAATTCTTAGGTCAGCTGAAACAGCTTTTGGCTCTCTGGAACATGAATGTGATTGAGGCTGCCAAAGTGTGTGGAAAATGAAATTCCAGCTCTTGCTGCCAGGAAGTTACAGGAAAATACCACCACACAGAAACATGTGCTGCAAATAGGAGTGGCTGGGCCTGCAGCTGGGAGATGCTCTCTTCTCTCTGATGGCTCCGATCAGCTGAGTTTGAGCTACTGAGTACAGACCTGCTAAAACCTCCGCAACCTCTCCTGCCGCCTTCATACAGCTCTGGGTCATAGCTATCCCAGGAGGAGCCTGTGGGCCCAATGCAGGTTTTGCTCCAGCTGTTGCTACAGCGCTCCAGTGACTCCAGTTGTCTTTTCACTGCTCCTGGGTTCTTGCAGTAATCACAGCACTTGTTACAAGGTGGGGTGACATCCCCAAAGTACTTGGCTATGGCAGCATGTCGACATCTAGAAAACAAAAGGGAAAACGATCTGGTAATTATTTTTATTGACAAGAACTTCACCCTCCAGATGCAAGGTGTCTTTTGATAAGGATTTGAGTCTTTTTTTGCAGAGAATGCCCATTCCAACAGGAATCACAGGGATTAAGCCCTGGAGCAGTTCTCTTCCTGGCACCTTGTTTAAGGTCTCTGCCTTCACTTCCCCACATGCAAAACAAACAGTGGTCTCAATCTCTTCTGCTAAATGCTTTCAGATCTCCAAGATATGCAAAAGGCACGGTGCATGAAATAGGCAGTTATTAATTCCGCATCATTCGCCAAATATATTCCATTTCCAATCAGTATGGCCCTAGGATATATATGTAAAGAGGTTCTGTTGATCCCTACACCTCAGTTGAGTATGACTGTATATCTCACATTGGAGAGCTTCTAGTTTTATTGATTGTGGTTTAAAGGTGAAGAAATCTACATGTGAAGGAACAGGAATGTAAATTAAGTCACAGAAAGAGAGTCCAGACTGAAGTCACAAGGGAGCACTACTCAGATAATACAGTCTGGGGGTCTCGATCTGCTAACACAGGCTTCAGATCAGCAGCCAAAGTTCGGGTAGAGTCCTACATCCATGAAAACCAGTCCATCTGTTCATATAGTATTGCACAACCCGTTCTACCAGCCTTAGCAAACTAGCCATGTGAAGATGATTAGATTCTTCCAGGAATCTTCAAAAGATTTCTGGCAGACACCAGGGCTTTTGGGTATGTAAAAAAGAGTTTGGTGACAGAGATATGTATGTTCATTAGCAATAAAGGCAGGAAATAATTTCTTTTCGAGAACACTCCCTAATTTACACCAGTGAAGACACTGATTTCACTAGATAAAGAACCACCAGGCGGTTACTTTATTTCTTTTTTAAGAAAGCAGGCAAAATTTAGGGGAGCTTTATAAAACCTGGGTTTCTCAGCAGCAGCAGCCAGTTGTCTCAACCAAAATGCTGATCCTAGATACACAGACACACTTACTTCATCAGGCATTTAGAGATCAAATCCTGCAGCCAAGCAGCAACAAGAGTTATTTTTGAAAAGAATTATTTTACCGCAAGGAAGAACAAAGTGGAGATTTTTCTTCTCTACCAAGGAGTGCCCTAGTTGGCTTACCAACTTCATCCGCAGAAAGTGGGTCAACAGAGGAGAAAATTAAGAGAGTGAGAACTTTATTTATTCTTATTATAAACCATTTAAGGCATGTCTGAACTTGCCAGAGACAAATACAGTTTGCTTCTTGTGTGCATGCGTGTATGTGTTTGGGGGGAATATAACTGCATGTCTACCAAAGCATCACAAACAAACCCCGCAAGGGTCTACGGCGGCAGCTGGCTCACTCATTCCCACGGCCTGGGAGGTTAATTTGCCAAGCCGAAGAGCGAGTGAGGCAGCAAAGCAGCAGGTTACAGATTACTGTCGCCATAGCAATGAAATGGGTGTGCTGAAGCGCGAAGGACCTGGCGCTGCTCAGGTAAGGCGGGCTGCACCAGCCTAGGGTTGCACTGGACGGTGTCGGGCACTGAAAGCTTAGAGGGCTACTACAAAGCTGGCTTTATATCCCCCCGCGGAGCCGCACTGACTCGCTCTCCTCTTGCACTCAAAGAGCTCCTTTCACATGGTGGGGAAGGGTGGGGGGACCAGGATGGGGACAACACATTCGATCCCCTTGTCCTGCCTTTCCAAAAGGACTGCTGGTGCTGCCTGTCCTGCCAATGCAACGTGACTATAGAAATGTCAGCGAGCTGCGAGTCAGCTTTTTGTCTCCCCAAAAGAAAACAGGCAGGCATTCTCATTAGTCCATGTCTCTTTCTCTCGCACGCACTGATCTGTATTAGAGTTAACCGAGGCATACAGTAATGGTCAGGCCCTCTCCTCACTCCTACAGCCTGCTCAGCAGTCTTATGCTGGGGAGGGACATCCACACATACCTCTGTCCCTTAATGCAAACAAGAGAGATGCCCCAAGGGAAGGCTTTGCCTGAAGCAGAGATCAGCTCTGAAGTCACTGGAATTTGGAGTTCTAGTTTCTAACCCATAAGGCTCATAAAGCCAAGCCCTTTCCATCCAGCCTCCTGTAACTGCCTGCATCTTCCTGCAGAATTACCCAAATCGGGGCCACATCCCCACTTTAGCCAACGGTGCTCATGAGTTGGGTCATAACGGAAATTCAGTTGCAGAACTAAGATTACCGTCCTGTAAATCAAGTCAGAAGGCCAAAACCAGAGTTACCAACAGGGATGCTGGGGGTAAACACAAGATTAATGCTTAACTGAGCACAAGAGGTCCTGAAACACAGTTAGTTATGCATTGACACGTGGTAAGAAAACTTCCCGGGTCACACAAGCACCTAACTGATGTCCACAAGATAGAGAGCTGATTTACATAAATTAATGGTACTTTGTATTATTACACATGTCCTAAAATGATTTAATCTTTTAAATAGGCAACTCTATTAACCGCCTCCTCCACTCTTCAATGGGAGTATGTATGACCTGACCACTGGTCTTTAAGATGTCTAAAGAAAACCATTTATTTCATTTGAGACATCCTACCCTGATATGACATCATAGGGTAAGATGAAGAGCAAATAACAATCCAGTTTACTAACATGTTTTTATCTGTGGCAATACATTTCAGGAAAGCGCTAAACTGACCATACGGCTGCTTGCACCATGCCTCCTTTTGGTACTCCTTGCTTTTGTACCCCAGCTAAAGCAGGAGCCCTACTCCTGCAATTAGTAGAAGCAGATGGTCACAGAAGAAACAAGTCACATATTCCAAAAGAAGCTTTGCCTCTCCCAAAATACACCAGAAAAAAGTATTCTCTTGTATGAGCCAAGGAAGAGAACACAGTTGCAGAAGAGCTCCCCCTAAAAAAACCCCAGCAAGTCTTGGAATTAAGCCAGAAATGAAAGCATTAAAAAAAGACAAAAATCATATGAGGACAAATTAGTTACATAGATGCCAGTTGCTGAACAAAAGCCACTTAATGAGCTTTATCAAACAGAAGAGCAAATTATGAGGCTGATGAGAAATTATCATTATGCACCTGTCTGAAGGACTCTGTAATATCATCTGAACTTCAACAGCCCCCTGAGACAAGACAGAGGGTATCAGTTGTCCCCAGAATGCAAGAAGCAAAACCCACGGCATCGAGAGAGTAAATGATTTGGTCAAGGGCACGGAGCATCATCCCTGTCCCGTCAGTGCCAGACCGTGCTGCACCGTCCTTGCGATTTCGTGCTCTGCCCCTTCAGAGAACACAGAAGAAAAGCTCCTTCCCCGGGGAGTCCGAAGGAAACTGGGCAACGTAAAGAAAAGTTAATTGTTTTACCACACACCCAAACTATCGCAAGGAGAGAATCAATTCAAGTCTCACTCCAAAAAGAGCTGCAATTAAAAGGAAAAAAAGTAAAAGACCTTGCTCGGAGGAGATGCACTGAGGAAGCGAGCAACAAGTGGTGGCACTCGGGCGCCTGCACCAGCGGCTGGCTCAGCCTGGGGAGGCTCCGCCGCCCGCCCTCCCTCTCTGGCACACATGTAACACGAAACTTCGTATCTCCAGGACAACCAATAACAAAAAAAAGGCAGAGACAACAGCTGGCTGTCAGCAGCAGAGCAGAGAGGAGCCGAGCGAGGAGCGAGACACAAGCCAGGATGAGGGGAGAGATGACGTGAAAGTTTAAGAAGACAGAACAACAAGAGGAGGAGAAGAGTTCGTGGCGCGGCTGGGGTAAGGCTGAGCTATTGCTGGTGGTCGGTCAACCGTAGCACCTTAACATTCAGCTAGTTAGCAAGTAGCCGGAGTTTTGTAGCTCTCTGTCTGGTGAGCTGCGGAATTAGCCGTTGAGCAGAGCTTGCTAGCCTCAATTTGTCTGCAAGGGACACTCAGGAGCTAAGGTGGTGAGAGAAAAGCTGTTAATAGGATTGCAGAAAGCTGCGCTGCTGCCGAACCGCTAACAAAAGGAGCCAGCCAGCAGTCCTGCAGTGCTTCCACAGTCAGAGCAGGAGTAAGCAACTTCTCTGCTGATTAGAAAGGCTGTCTGCTCATTTTTTCTGTTGCTGTTACGGAATGTGACCTTAGCTGATAAGTAGCTCTAGCAGAGGGCACTCACCAGACTGATGACTTGATATATGAATGCTTAGTGCAGGCAAGAGAGCTGGTCTGCTCCTCCGTGTGAGTAGTGTGTGTGCCATTAGCGAGGAGCTGCCAGCGCAGGCAAGAGCATGTGAGACCAAGTGGGTGCCAGCCACAGCATTTCTCCAGAGCTCCTCCCAGCTGGAGCTAAGTTTTATCCCCCAAATCCTGAAGCAAACAGAGAGCTTGGAAAACAAACCCTGGTTGGGGAACTAGCATACTGTGCAAGTTAAGCATCTGTGTCCAATAGAAATAAACAGATTTTACACAGCTTCTAACAAGAGCATTTTAAGGAAAGAATCTGCTAGCGTTATCAGGCACAGATGCTGGTTTACTAGTCAAAACAGCATGAGAAACCACTGCTTGGAGAGAACACATACATACATCGTCTGTGGTTTGCAGTAACGAGACCATCAGGTCTGAATGCAGTGAGAAAGAAAGGAAGAGGAAAAGGATCCCCTAAATCCATGAAATTACAGAATCATAAAATCATTTAGGTTGGAAAAGACCTTTAAGATCGAGTCCAAGCCTTGGTTTTACATAGAGTGGTGTCCCACAACCTGTGCTCCCATCTCCGCTTTGCTGCTGGGTACGGGAAGGGGGGGCTGGCAAGGGGACAGCCCATAAAAGCCCCATTTTCTGCCATATGAAGCCGATTACTCAGCTTGGAAGCTCTTGCAGCTCTTAGCACAGAGCTGGGACCCCTTGCCTCTTCCAGGAGGCGCATGGACAGTCAGCTGTTTACAAATGGGTAGAGAGAGAGGCAGAAAGCCAGTTCTCACAGAAAGATGTCTTCCTGATCCTACACATGCCTGTAGGGAGGAATGTTAAGGATCAGGTATTTCCACTTCTCTCCATTCCCATTAATGTGGAAGGGAGGGCAGGTCTTTCTGACCTACGTGTTGTATAAACACCAAATTGGAACTGCCTGTGTGGGTTCTGGTAGTTAAGACCCAAACGCCTCCAGTCTAGCCCTAGGTTCAAAGGGGATGGAGGGAAGTTTCCACCCTGCTAATGAAGGGTCTCTCTAGATTGTTTGTTGCAGTTAAGATGGTTTCTCAAAGTACGTGAAAAACAAAGTTTAGGGGGGGGAAAAAAGGGAAGGAGGGAGGAGCAAGGGAGAAGGGCAGGGGAGGGAGGGAGAGAGAAAAACAAGCCAAGTTTTCTTCGCCAAGAGAAAATCTTAATGGGTTTGGCTGGGGGCTTGTCCAGCCGCAGCCATGTTGTACATATGCAGCGGGGGGGAATAAGCAATATGAAACACATGTCTGGATACAAAGCAGGACATGGCTTGTGTTGCAGCTGTCATAGTGCACGGGCCTCAGCCTGACAGCAATGCAAAAGCTGTTGTAGGAGTGGAGGTACAAAATAAACCAAGTTTGGTAGAGCAGATCCTTTCTGTAACACAAACCCCTGACCCGCACAGCTTGCAGTGGGCCAGTGAGCAGAGCTGCACACTGGACAGCAGGGACTCAAAGAGCTGGGAAAGGAGAGCAGCACCCACCCCTCACCTCCACACAGGCTCTCACCACCACCCCGCGCAACTACAGCTGATACGGATTCTACCAGCTTCTTCTGAGGAAGCAGCTGTTGTAGCCTTCAGTTTTGAGTTCCTACACCCAGATGGCATCTTTACTAGGATTAGACCAGCATATTTCAAAAAACTCAAAAATTTATATCATTTACGAGACCTGTAGGTCTAAGACCAGCCAAGGACAGGGCACAGAGGGGACTGAAAGAAGATGGAAGTGTTTCCAGCATTCCCAGGGGACTCCAGCTGCCTTACCTCAAACACCAAACTACTGACAGATCCCAGTATATTTGTGAAGTAGCTATTCAAAAGGCTTTCACAGGCATGCAGCTACCTGTCAGCTTCCTGGGAAATGGTTATTTTGCTAATATTGCAATAGATGTTCAGGCTAGATTCAAGCATCAGCAACCCTAAAAAAAGTTCTCTTGTAGAAGAGCTACAGGTTTATTTTTAAAATTGACCTTTTCCTTTCACTGGATGGCTCTGTGCTTTGGTTTCCCCACTTAGAAATGGGACTAGTAGTGAGGAATTATCTCATGGGGTTTTGTGGACTTGTTTGTGGGATGGACTGGAAAAAAACAGGGTGTTCTGTAGAGGTGTGGAGACTCTCAGTTCAGTGCCCCAGTGGGTACCTCAGCTACTGAAACTGTTACTACAGGGAATTCAGTGCATTTTTATATTAATCTAATATTAGCTTGTAGGGGAGGGCAGGAACATTTATGGTGCTGCCTCAAAACCAATCTCCAAATAGTGGTTGGTGGAGATGACAGGGTATTCCAGCCAAATGGCTACCCAGCCAGGGCAGCTTTATAATCTGAAAGAATGTATGGGCGCCTTTTCCAGACCAGCTGACAAAGTCAAAGCTTTTCTCCCATGCCACTGAGCTGCAATTTACCAGTTTGGGTGTGTGCTGTTAAAAGACTGAATTCTCTTGATACTTGAAACTATTTTCATCTACTTGGGAATGAATTATAGGTCTGTCAGACTCCTTTAGCTCCCCTTTTAGGAAAAAAGGGCTTGTCTGTGAACTATAGATAAGATTCACATGGCTGGTCAACTACAGTCATGGCAGCAAACATTGCATTAACAATGATGAGGGAAAACCATGCACTGATAATATGACTGCATTTCTATAGCCCTTTTAATCTCAGAATTACATTACAAACTTAGAACAATAAACAATCATACAGGAATTATTACATGTTCTGCCAAAATGCATCTAAGCTGTAACAACACCTAGCAGCCCTGCAGTGTTTTAGGACAGGAAGCATTGCAGACCTTAACCATACAAAATCAGAAGCATGCTTCAGGAACCCAGAACAAAGCTGGTAGGTGTAGGAACTGGCCAAGCCTTCATGTTCTTAAGAAAGTGGCCAAATACAGTGAGAGTTTATTTTAAAGTTTTAGACCAGAATAAAAAGCATCCTCTCCCCTTCAGCTGCTCAGCACTCTCCCTCCACGAGGCTGGGATTGCCTTCTAAGATTTCCTGCCAAGTAAACTACCACAATCTATACAGGCTTCCCATCCTATTATTGGTCCACTTTCAACCAACTTATTTGACTTGTCTGAATAAGAACAACACGAAGTATTTGTTCTCTACTGCCACAGTCTTGGGAAAAAGACAATGTTGCAATGAGAATGTTGCCCTGGCATTCTGCTTGCTTGGGCACCTCCAGGAGGTCACACTTTGTAAGGGCAACGGGCACAGTGGATGATACCCAGCTCACCTTCACTGGGACATGTTAGGACTAGAGGTGTTGGCAGCTTCAGGGCACCACCAACAGGTTCCCCCCTCCAAAGCTTCGTCTCCATTTTTACATATAGCAACAACCCATGCAAACAAAAAATTCCAGAGGGAGCACAGTAAAACCAATGGATTGGGATCACGTCAAGAGAAATAAAACTGCAGAGCATGGCTGGGTAAGGAGCAACCAAGAGTGGAAGCCATGCTTTCATCTACTTTCATCCTGAATGGGCTCAGTGACTGAATGTAACAAGCGGTTAGCAAGCAAAGGCCATTTCATTTTGTAACTGTAACAAAACCAGGGACTGTCTTTCTATCTAAACATTTCATAGCATGTTAGAGACTTGGACACGCAACAATTAACAAACAAACATCTGATGGTGGTTACATGTTCCACCACTTTGCAGAGATGAGGTCACCCAACAGAGGGATAGGATGATTTATCCCCAGTGACACAACCAGTAAGCATCACTGGCAGGCCAGGAAGACTGCCTGCATTTACTAACTTCCAGTCCTGGGGCTAAACCACAAACTCAAATTCATGTTCTTTGCACGGAAATAGGCTGATCAAATGCCACCAGGGTTATGACTAAACAAGCGTCTCATTCCTCAGCAGTAAACTGAAGCTCACCCACTCCCTACAGTTCAATTTTTGATGCACCTGTGTAGACACCAACAACTTTTCCAAACCAAAGTCAGACCAAAACCACCCAACCAATTTGTATCAATTCCGAAATACAGCAACTTGACTAGCCTATGGCAGCAGAAGGATGTGGGACCTCACCTTACATGGTTATCCCAAAGCTTTTTCTTGCTTGAAGCTTGGAAGCTACAAAACACAGCCAGCTCACAGTACAACAAAACCCTGGCCAAGGCTCTTCTCTTGAATGTCTAGATTGAGGCCTTTTAATGGCTTTATTCTCGAGAGGGCTGAGCTGCCAACTTCTTTGAGTGCTTCAATATGGCTTAAGTCCATTAGAACAGTTCAGAAAGATAATTTCAATGCTATTATGGCAATTTTCACAGCTTTATTCAGGGGCACAGCAAGATTAATCTGCATTAAAAACAAGCATTAGCACTTTCTGGGAATCTAAATCTACAGAAGCCCTAAACATAGGACATACTACTTTGGTTTTAAAAGGTCATCTAATCCTTTTGCTGAGCAGCACACCTGCAGACATCAGGCATCCCCCTCCATTATTACTGGGCTCTCTCTTTTCATTCAAGGCTAACAACTCATAACACATGGCAAATTCAGCTTTTTTTCTCCTCAAAACCAAATAAACCCAAATTAGAAGATTTGTTTTATTCCCTCCCCTGCCAGGCCTTGTAACATAGCGGAAGGCAGAAAGAACTGATGATCTAGTCCCACTGGCAACACTGGATAGATGAGTTATTTTTTAAAAGAACAACCACAAATTTCAGGTTGCCACACCAACCCAGCAGGAACTTCCAAACTGCCTGTCACAAGACATCACCATTGTGTTCACGTTTTTTTCCACGTGTTTCTCATCTTGCCTCTCTTCACCCTATTTTCACTTCAAATGATCTCTAACTATAGCTATAGAGCAAAAGTTCATTACTTTAGTCTGACAACACACTATGAACACTGCATTGCACCGTGGTCATTCAGCATAGTAACATGTTTCAGATTTACTGTCCTAACAGCCATGTCTCCTCTGCTCTGGAGGGTTCCCATCCTCAGTGGATGTGGTTTTGAGGAGGGACAATGAGCAAGGAGAAGTTCCCAATTGAGAAGAACACTGGCAGACAATTATGTTTGCTCCAAACCACACAGAACATGTGAGGTGCTAACTTGGGTGGCTGTTCTAGGCTCTAGAACAGCACTCCAGTCTTCAAAAGTAAACTGTCAATTAAGACAAACAGCCTTACGTTTCAAATCTCTCAAGACTTGTCTATTTTAACAATAATCACAACAGTTACTGCTTCAGCCAAATATCCTGCACTGCCTGGCCTTTACTACTGTTGGTGACCAGGAGCTTACCTGAACACACTATAATAAATGAAAAGGAATTAATTACTGTGGCTCCACTCTGAAATCTGTAAGTAACATCATCACTGTTGTGTTGTACATGAGGAAGATAAGGCAGATGCATAAACCAACTTAGTTTAAGTTACACAGCACTTGCCTTACCTTTATGCTAATCTCTAGGGTAAGATCTTGATTCTGTTGAAATCAGTTGGAAAAAGATCATAATCAAAACTAGCCCTGACCAAAGATTTTACATCACTAGTAGAATAGAAGATACAGAAGTCCATGAATACAACTAGCTTTCTTGGAGGAGTTTTACTTTGTTTTTGTTTTTTGTTGTTTTTTTTTTTTTTTTTTAAAGTCGTTTATTCTTCATCGTTCTGCTACACTCCACAGGCAGAAATCGCAAAGCAGCAAGAGCCCTTTGAACCAGTGGGCAGTCAGAAGTGCAGTCAAGCAGAAAAACATTTGCTTCCTCACAGGTAGGTTGGTGACTGCACCACCAACATCAAACTTTGTCCTCAAGAAGTTCAAACTAAGGTAAACAAGCAACATTCCTTGCAATTTTTAGACTAAAACCTCCTTCCTTAGCTCCAGATCAGGTACCATAGGCAGAGGAATGTCCATTACTGAGACAAGCTCTTATCGTTTTAGGCTAGGCACTTGGCTAATCCACGTAGAGTTCTACAATCCTAATCAGTAATTTTACACCATACACCCAAATTTCAGAACCTTGACTCTTACACTTGCTGCTTCTGGTGCAGCCCAAAGCATGGCACAAAGGTTACAGCATATTCCTTATTAGGAGAGCTCCTGGGCAGGCAGAAACACCTCCAAAGGGAACAAACATTTTCAGAATGTTAAAGCCAGAAATACTTACTTTTTAAAAAAAGTTTTTCTTCTAGAGCCAAGAGCAGAAAATATAAATCACTTCTCCTCTGCCTGCACCACCATCTCTTGGAATTGAAACAAAACTGGAAACCTGCTGGACACACAATCCCACAGGACTGTGCAAAGGATAAAGCAGCCATTTTTTGAGCAGCTCGCTTGGGGTACAGCAATCATCTGGATGGAACTTTTTCACCCTAGTCTCAAAAGTGACCCTTTCAGGTCAAAAGGCCATAGCTATGCCTCCCTGCTAAGTTGCACAGAGAACTTTCTGTAGATGTAGATTTTCCATCCACACCCATCCCTAGGAAACCAGCTGGTTCAGATTTTTATTCCTTAGCTTGGATTTAAAGGAACAAAGAAAACCCTTTTTGAATTGCATAAACATACAAAATGTAATTTAACTTGGCACTGCAGTATTTAAGCCCAGCATGCAAAGAAACAGCCAAGGTCTCTCCGTCCTCAGTGTGTTTAGAAAAACTGAACTCCAAGCATCCATTTGTTTGAGTAACCAAACCAGATGTGGAATTATGAACTGGTTGGCTTATTCTGGAAGTAATGTCTTGATCACATGGCTTTGTGTTATCAGCAAGACTAGGATATTGAATTGCAGTGTTCAAGTCCTAAAACAGTGTTGACTATTACAAGAGACACAAGCTAGTACATTCTGATATAATAATGATGTAAGAGTTATAATCCATCCAAGTGTTCACCTGTCCAGACACTTGTTTTAGGTGAAACTATGGATATTTCTCAACAATATCCTATTCCAGTTACTAACTGAAGTAAAATTTGAACTTCCATAGCTCTCATGCAAGCAGTGCCTTCCAAAATCTTGCTCACGGGGCAAAAGAACAGCAAATATTGCTGGCAAAACCAAGGCACCTAACTTTGACTAGACTAATAATATTTTGAAGTAACAATAATTCCTGGTGATCGTTCTGAGAATAAAGGTATAAGATTACTGAACAGGGCAGGAGGGATTAGTTCCATAATGAAGTATCTCTCTGACAGATCCAGGGGCTGTTGCTTTGCTCATCACCAGCAGTGATTGGTGGACGTCCACTGTTCAATTCATATATTACTCAATTAGAACAGACTGTGGCTTAAAAGAAAAAAAGCTACATTTAGTTACCATATAAAATTTGCAGTCATCTGTAAGAACTTGGAAAGCATCCAGCTGTCCCCACTGAATGCAGACTTTAGCTCTTAATATCACCATTCAGTAAAACTAGTTGATAAAACATTGTTAATGGTTATTGTAGTGAGGTGTTGAAGTAAGTGCCTTAGTTCTTGAAGGGGCTTTCGGTAGCTGAAAGTGTGAGAAGTCTTCAAGGGAATCTACTTTGTGTTAATTTGTAAAACACAACTGAAAACTATGTACCACCAGAGTTCAGCATTTGGAATTCAAGTCAAGTTAGAAATACATTTCTTTTTGGAAGAACAAGTTAGCACAACTGGAAAAAAAAAAAATTACTTTCACTGGGTGAAAGCAAAGAGCAGGCACTGTCCAGTTCTAACTCTATGCCTGCTGAAATGTGTCCTTTTAGAGGAAACACCATTTTGCTTTTGCTCAAGCAAACAAAAATACCCTCAGAGGCAGATTTTGAAATTAAACAGTGCCAGAACATGTAGACAATTAATAGTCCTCCACCTTAGCTACTGGGAGCAAGGACTGAGACCAGATAAACTTGTTTTCCTTGTGATCACCAGCTCTATAAGAAGGCTGGCAGCTTCCTAGCATTAGTCAGTTAAAAGGTTTCCTCTCTATTTGGTTCTTCTACAGCATAAAGCCTGGAGAGGTTGAGCCAGAATGTCATCTGAAGGCTTTCTGAAGGAAATGCAAACCATTGGTGAGAAGTTTCTCCTTAAGCTCCAGAAACTGCCCAAGGCTGACCCAGTGGAGATTGTGTCCTTTTGTGTGGTTCTTCTGTTTATCGGTGAGTTTACTGGTGGAGGCCAAGGGGTATCAGAATGTCTCTGCTCTTCTACAGGGGAAGCTTGCTCCACAATCGTTGTTGGTGGGTCAGAGTTGTTGGCAGTTGTTTTCCCAGTTTAATTTTGAGGTAATTTTTTAATACTAAGTGTGTATCTCTACATGCATGCAGAGCATAATAAGCAACAAAGCTCTCATATTTAAGCATTAATTTAAACAGCAGTATTTAACCAACCCAGAGCTGCTGCAGTGTTTTGATGCATAGGACACAGTTTATGACTAATAGTGTTAGGGCATCTCGCTGCCGCAGGAGACACTTAAAGTCTGAGACTCTGAGTGTCCTTCCTGTGCCCAATTCAGTGGAAGCCAGTATGCTTCAGATGAGCCTGTTTATTCTCCTCTGGTAATTGCAAGATCCCTCCTGCTGCTCTGTGTGGAGATGGCACGGAAGGAGTAACAGAGAGCTGCTTGATCAAGGGGCATGAAGTTTGTTCAGACAGTGGGAAAACAAGCAGGAAGGAAGGCAGACCCTGCCCCTCAAAGTGGTACACTTTGCTCCCAGCCAGAAGGAAGGGTGTACAGCCAGCCTGGACACTCCTCCCTGGGCTGGAATTCAGAAAGACACACCTGCTGTTTTATTTGTTTCATACCTACAGCTGGTTCCTCACCGGTCCAGTAACCTGGCAGCCCAGCTCCAGACTTTTAAGGAACACGTGCACGCCCACGTGCCCGTTCACGCACTCCTTTGTTTTGCAGGATTAAACATGTCGTCCTTTTCTATTCCAGATAAATGAAAATATCCCTCCTAACACCAACCATTATTCCTAGTGTAGAATAACAGTAAGTTAGACCACTGCTTTGTGAAACAAAACCCTGCATCTGAAGTATCCATTTTTTCAAGCTAAATACATAAGAAAGAGTAAAGTCAACCAGTCACAAATATCTATCCTTATTGAAGGGTACACTGCATGCACTCTTCAGAAATGCAACTGCTGGTTTGACTAACCAAATCCTCTCAAGTTGCTTCTGACACAACTATGGCGAGATCCGGGATCTCCATCCTTTCCAGGCATGCAGCTCCACTTAGTTACTGCATGTCAGCTCCGGAACAACAGCCCGTTAGGGAGGTAAGGATATACCCCACGTGGTTTGGTACCTAGCTCTTATGATCATGAAATATCCAGTAATGACTGTCCAGATTAAATGGATAACTAATACAAGGGAGCAGGAACTTAGGAGGAGGGAGGTGGGATATAAGGCAAAAAATATTGGCAAGAAAGCAGGCTTTGTTCATTCTATTGCTCACTGAACAACCTGGAGGAGACATAGGGTTACTCTGCAATGATTGCTCCTACACCATAAAGCAATATCCTCTGCTTCTCTTTCTAGTTACTGTTCTGGTGCTCATGATCATTGCCTGCAGTTGCTGCTGCTACAGCTGCTGTGGCTGTGACAGACATCCTGACCACAGACGTAGGAAGATCCAAGTCCGCCCAACTGCCCATTCATGAAGTACAACAAGAGGTGACACAACCTACTATGAAGGACATGCACGGACATCATGATTCAGTCCTATGGGAATGCCTGCCTACACTAGCTCACTGAAAATGGCAATAACAATATTAATTAATATGACTCAGAGGACCAGAAATCACAGCATGGAATTCCTTCTTTCTGTGACGGCCACTACTGAGCTCCGTGGTGCTACCAGAAAGGTAATGCTCCTTTACCATCACTGTCTCCCTCTTCTGGGGTGGGGTGGGGGTGCCTGGACACATGCTGCTGAGAAAACAGACAGGCTTTCCCAATGACAGCCCTGCAGCTGGGCCAGCCAAGGACTCCCTTTGTGAGCACGGAGCCACAGAGCAAAGCAGAGAACACGGACCCTGCCACACACTAGGCAGCACCTACTCTCTTCACAAGTGGCTAATGCCACAGGACAGTGCTGAGCGCTGCCAAAACACACCTGACATTACGGGGAAGTCCACATACTCAGTACATCTTGGATCAAGCCCAAACCTGCTCTTTTAAAAGCCATCTACAACAGACATTTAGTGGAGATGTCTGCTGAAAACAACAAACCGTGGACCTACTGAGACATGCCAGCTGAGGCTCCGAGTACAGCTGGTAACAAATGCTTCCTGCTTTGTGTCATTGGTGTTACAACGATGTGAAATTGCCAAAGAAAAAAAATCAGATCACGTGCAATACCCTTTGGAAACAGAAAGACAAAGGCAAAAGGGAAAAACTCACAAATGATATGTCTTAATTTGATTGTTCTGCTGCTAAATGTGCTCCGTCCCTATCCCCCATGTGGTTCTGCTCTACTGCTTCTTGCAGGTGAGTGGTATGTACAGAGCATGGGAGTTCCAGATGAACAAATCCCTATCCTTACTCAAGAGACCTGTCTGCCTGACTCCCTGCACTCTGTGCAGTTTATTTTAGTGGACATAAACATTATGCCTACGGTATGTTTATTAGCATACACAAAGGCATTTCAGAGGAGTCATACAAGATGGTAACCACCACTTCAGGGTATACATGCAGCTGCTGACAGCGGGCATTGTGACAAAGCAGAGCCCAGAAAAGGCTGTATGGCTGAAGTTAGCAAGTGCAAATAAATCCCTTTTTCATGCCACAGCCACTGTGTATGTTTGGTTTACACTTCAGTGAACTTCAGGAAAGGATTTATGTAAGTACCAGGCTATGGTGCAGGCCACAACTTTCATAACTGGGACAGCCAAACAGAAGATCATACTGCACCTAACTCTAAGCCATTAGCCTTTCAGCCCCAAATGTGAAACCAATCACCTTTATGAGAAGGTATAAAAAGTTACATGCATATAGATAAGTCATCTTCTACCCTTGTATTCCAACTGCTAAGTGTAGAGGAGTCAAAAGGATTACACATGTATATAACAGAGCAAACATCTAGCTAGAGAAAACAGTCATCAAGTTTGTAACAGTGGACTTCTAAACATTCTTAACACTTCAGAAGGGCCAAAAAAATGAAAACTTTGTAAAGAAAACTTTCTCTGATCCGTACACCCAAATTAGTAAAAAGCACATTACTTCAGTAACTTCTTATGTATTTAATGCACTTTAATTTTTGCAAAGAAACTAGATTTAGGTATTTGCATTTTTGTGCGACTGCACATTGGAATATATCTGCAGCTAGTGACACAGAGAATGGTCTAAAAATGGAGAAAAAAAAATTCAAAACTTTCCAGCAGATGAGAATGTTCCTTGAAAAGTAAGTATTTGAGCTCCAACTTGACAACTGCCAACAGAAGGCTGCACTAGAATGAGCTACTGCATGCACAGTTACACTAAGACTAAGAAAGCACCACCTTTATTACGCTGTCCCAAAGATTTCACTCCCCATCAATACACTAGGGTAGGATAAGATCAAACGTGGCATCAATTTACTCTAACCAACAATCAGAGGATGCATCACCCTAACCTCTGTCAGATATGTCTTTGCTCATTTCACTCACAAACAAGTGGCAATCAAGGTGATATAGGAAGTCTCTGAACTTCTACAGGAGACAGGCTCAAGACATTTCTGTGTCTAAGTCACCAGACCTGTGAAAGGACAGAGCTTACTTTCTTTTCCCAGCCAGTGCTACACAGTGCCAGCTACAGGAATTAACAGAATCCCATTGAGAAATGTTTCAGCCACATGGATCCAGTCTGTGCTAACAGTCAGGAGGAAACTCAGCAGGCTGGAAACACACCAACGACTGACAGGTTGCTGTCACTAGAACAAGCTGCCAGGCCTTATCTCAACAGGAAAAGCTACAAATACATGTTTCCAGCGGTGTCACAAGTTAAACCACTGGCAGATATCTGGCAGGGGACAAGAGAACTGGCTCCTGTCTTATCACTGCAAGTTCCTGAATTAGAAATGGAGAATAAACACAGCACTGTTAAAGGGAAAAAAAAAAAAAAAAAAAAGAGAGAGAAAATGAAGCAATTCTCTAAATAGAGGAGGTGTTCCTGGACCTATTTTTACATATTTGCCTGGACCTCACAGGCCTAGTGTTCTGCTTTGTACTCTTTTACACCATTGTACTCAGCTGGACTAGTCCTGTACTTGGTAGTTAGGTAGGCCAATTGCTTGCCTGGGCTGGGTCTGATGCCTTCTCAATAGATCAGGTAGATAGATCAGGTTGGCCTGAACAATGCCCAGCAAATCCCCATCTTACTGCAGCTTTTCAGTTTCTGTTGACAAGAAACGTGCCAGTCTCTGGGTCCCTGCTCACCACTCACACAAGCTTTTGTGGTTTTGGCTTTAGTGGTTACCCACATAAAGGAACTTGGAATGCCCTGAGCACTAGTGAGGATGGATCCTCTCTGTTTCAAAAAGCAGAAAGAGATTCCAAAGAGCACAGGCTAAGGCAAGACTGCTTCTAACACAGCAACTTCTGTATGTGTTATGAAAGCCTGAGTGAGCCTAGAAGGAACCACAAGGGAATACAGTTACATCAGTCCTGATGATACAAGTGTTGAAATAGTTTCTTACCCTGAGGAACCTAAAAGAGACTCAGGCTAGGCTCTCCAGCAGAAGTGGTTGAAGTTCTATTGACAGCTTAATGGAATAGCTTCTATTCTGTAACATCATGCCTCTGGTTTCAAAGTGATTTGCTTGGCTTGTGAAAAATGAGTTTCCTTTTACACACAGGCAGCCTCACACACCACACTCTCCTCCTCCCCTCCCACCTCTCTCCAGCACCATCCCTCTGGTCTTCTTCAGTTAGGAAAGCAACAGGGAGTCAGTTTGACCACAGCCAACAGCAGTGCAAGACTCTGTAATGAGTTGATCCATGTAAACTGTCATGATGAAGTTTGGACTGGAGGGCAGGCTTGTTCACAGTCTCATTTAGATATGGCAGTCTCCTAATACAGCTTACAATACAGATCTGGTCAGAATCCAGGAAACAAAGCCCTCTTCTCTCTACCACAACCTGCAACCCTCCCCAATCAGAGGGCACAGTGGGCCTTTACAAGCACTGGAACAGGTGCATGAATGGATAAAGCCACACAGAAGAAGAAATGTCCAAGCAGCAGCTGAACTAGGTCTTTTTAACTGGGCTCAAGGCCTTCGATTAGATTAGCCACACCTTGGGAGGAAAGTCAGCTGTTAATTATTTACTACAGTACAAACAGGCAACTTCCATACTAGCTCTGTGGGTCTCCAGGTGCAGTAAGGGGGTCCCTCTCCACAGGCCAAGATCTCTCGGAGTGGGTGCAGAGGAGGTACCAGAAGAAACACCTACTACAATCACAACAGCTTCAGGTATTTATAAAATTGCATACAACTCCTATTTCAGATTAACTATGGCTAGCGAGAGACAGGAACTTTCTAGGATGTACAGTCACACAGGGTTTCTGCCTTTGGGTCTACAGAACTAGTATCTAGGCTGCCTCTTTTTTAAAGGCAAAGCAAGCTATCCAGAACAGCTTTAATCCTGTTGGTTAGAGACTAGGCATGGTGATCTGCCGTAAGTCCAGAAAATAAAGCACAAACTGAATATATTTGGCTGCTGAAAAAAAAAAACCCAACTTCACCAAACTGAAGCGTGATCTTGTGCTCATGGTCAAGTGTGGCTTGCTGAGGATAAAATATGCTTTACACAGCTAGTTCTCTTCCTTACAATATTGAGGATACAGATATAAGGGGCAGTCAGTCAAAGAAATTTTCAAAAATAACAAAGATCTCTTCCTGTATTAAGTCTGCATGGTTGTATTTGAGGGAAAGTGTGAGAAATAATCCATCCTTTCCCTTGAGAAGCTTTAGTAAAACCACAAGATGCTAGCAAAGAGATGCTGGATGTTCTTTAGAAAGCTGATAGCCAAGTCATTATGTGAAGTATCAGTGAAAAAGCAAGTGCCTAGAACCCACTGAGATCCCAGTTTAAACTGAGCTGAGCTTCATGGGAGGAAAACTTAGGCTTCTATTGCTGAGCAACAGAAAGTGTTACTAAAGCAAACTTTTAACAGGAGACCTTTTCTACATAACTGCACTATTCTAAGCCCTATGGGGGCAAAAAGTTGTACATGAAGATCTTTGCTTATTGTTGGTGGGATTTTTTTTTTGGTTGGTTGGCTTTTTGTCTGCTTTTAAATAAGTGTTCATTTAGTCTCCAGTATGTTCCCAGAGTTTAAGTGCCCAAGTCCTTTTTAGGGATTCTTCCAATGGTATTGAGCAAGTTCTCCCACTCAATACTTGTCTTTCATGCATAGACTGTGCAGTTGATAGAGATGAAGGGTTCATACTGAACATGCTGGGAGACACACTATATTATTAAAAATACTGATAAACTATGATTAAAATAACTTTCAACCCCCAAAATCTTGTAAAGCCAGAAGTTTTCCTCTTTACATCTCTGTTGATCTGATTGTGAAATGCCTCAGCTATCTTTCTTCTGGTTTATGCTCCCATTTCTGTGAAGGGTGACTCTCCATTTTGGAAGAAGGATGCCTGCAGGCATAATGCTGATACTGGTTTCAGGACTGTGGCTGGGAGCATAGAGAGGATACACCAACATCTGATACTGTTCTTGTCTACCTCCAGCAGGGTGGAAGCCAACATGTCATCAGTACAAGAGGCATCCTCAGTTCTGGAAGACCTAAAGAGACGGATTGTAACAAGTGACTGGGCTCTTGGAGGGCTAGTGGTGATTGGCACCTTCTGTCTTGTTTTTATTGCTCTCCTCCTATTTGCTGGCATCTTTGGGTGCTGCTCATCTCCAAGGCACAAACACAGTGGTGCATAAACAGCAAAGCTGAGACACAGTACTTGGAGCCCTGCAGCTAAGCAAGAATCAGCCCAGCTACAACCTGATTGTGTTGTTCATGGAAAGCTTTCTCATTGTCTCTCCCTGGGTGGTTATTTCTTCCCATGCAACATTTCTGGATCAAGAGCAATGCACCAATGCCAGCAAGTTGTTCTGCAAGTCCACAGTGAACTCAAACATAAGGCTGTCTGTGTTCAGGAACTGCATGACCAGCCAAATACCAAAGTCATGTTATCTCTGCCTGATTTTCATCTTTGAAGCAAACCCACTAGTTAGAGGTGGAAAATAGTCAACCACCACCTAAAACTGATAAAGATGTCTTCTGTGGCTGCACTTACATGTTGTTTTTCTCCATTTTGTAAATGGGGAACAGGGAAGTCTGACCAGCAAAAGGTTTGTCTAAACCCACTCTCTAAAAGCAGCTTATACCATTGTTATCCTGTCATACTCGGACAATAGCCTAAATATACTATGCAAAAACTTGCCTGTCAGCATACGATCTGTCTTTATTTGTTCTTATTTGGAACCTTGAAAGGTCAGAGTTTCAGGTTTGCTTTCACTGTTCGGATAGCAAACAGAACTGTATTAATTCAAAATGTAAAAAAGAAATGCAGCATGGCATTCCTTTACATAGCATCTTAGTCTCCTGTACAGTTATGAGCAGGGAAGCCAGTCAGTGGTGCTGCAATATGCAACTCTGGGATGCACATGGCGTGTTATACAGTAGGAAGAATGTAGTGAGCGGGGAAAGGGAAGAAAAAGTGTGGGAGACATGTGACTTCTAATTAGGTCAATGATATTCCCTTACAGAAATCTCTTATGTACCCAGTGAAATCCTATTTCTATTTATCTGAGTGAAGGAGAATGTTTTCTCTGTCCTTGCTCAGTTACTGCTTCACTGCTGCAGTGCAACTCTAGAAAAGGTCCTCATTTCAGAGAGCAGTCAGGCTCTTTACAGCTTGCTTGAAGTGAGAGATGCTGTACATGGAGCCTAACTCATGCCTTTCCTGGGACACCATCCTGGAACACCCTGTGACTGATGCTGGCTTCTGCAGGTTAGTTCAGTGATCCCAGCCCAGTTCTTATGGCACTAGCGTCCACTCAGAGAAGTGACTGTCATGACTAACTCTGCTAGTAACCAGCTTAAGTCTCAAGGAGAAATGGATACCAAGACAAGGTTTCCTAAGCTTAGCATCTAAAGAGATAGATACATCTGCCTCTCAGATTATACAAAACCCAGACACAAACAGCCATCTGACCACTTTCTCTATGAGCTGGTAACATGCACCAGAAGGAGCAAAGCTGCTTAGCCAAGTAAGTGGATCAAACTTATAGCAAAGAAGCCTCCTAGTAGCTACTTCCCAGAATCACCTTGACTTTGGGCAAGGAAATGCTCCTTCAAGTAC